CGATTACCTAACTTCTGGCCCCAGGACACACTGAAAATGCCTTCAAAATCAATTTTTGTGCAGCGGGTGGTTGATGTCACCTTAATCGTTGTTTTGATGACTACAGATGTTACTCAGTCACAAATCTATTCAATCAATCTGGATGACGAGGGTCTTCTTCGCGTAACTTGCGTAGGATTGGGTTTCGCGACGTACCGCAGCACCTCGTTTCCTGAAGGGGTAGGGCATATAAGCCGATCATGGTTCCGTGGCATTTCAGCACCAGCAATGTCAGATACACCTCGCGTAATCTTGTTCGCTAAAGCCACCTGACGCTCACAACTCTCGGTGTTTTGGGAGCTGGTATTCCTTACATGCTAGCACATAAAGAAAAGAAATATATTCGAACGGAGTAGGATTTCCTGCGCATAACTCTTCTGCGGTTCCGTATGAAAAATTTGCATTAATAAACAATTCTATAAAGGATGATTTTATCTGCAAGAAAAGATGAAAATGCTAGTTATTAACAGGTGGAAAAAGCTATTTAAATTCCTGATTTTTAAAATCAGTTTGCTCTAATTTACTATTGTTGATAACATTTTTGAAAAAAATTGCTACATAATTAAAGCATCGTTGATTAGTTTACAAACGCGATGTAGATTTCTGTTTACTTTATCACCCATTCGGCAGGCCAACACCTTCATACGCTTATTAAGAGGTAACAAATACACCGAAACTGTTCTTAAAGTCCATGTCCATTGTAAGCTTAATTATACTAACGAAATAACTGATAAGTAGCATTTATGTACATACCATGTTTATTACTTCTTCTTTCCCCTGTCATTTTACTCATTTTGTATATTTTCAAAATGATGTTGTCTACGGCTCACGCAATAGGAATAACCTTCATTCAATTTACAGATATCCGCTAAATAGATTGAAAATCCGGTCAGGAAGGAAACCAACTACTACACTTTGTTTCGAACTCCACGGAGGATATAAGGATCAAAGTAATCGAGAATTAAATGATTTTCTAATGTCTTTCAGGCAAACTTATCTAAAAGGAGATTCTGACATCAACACGGAAAGTGAAATTGAAAGGTTAATTATTCATGTTTAAAGTTTAAAGTGTTCACAACGTTATCAAGCTTGTGAAGAAATGACGATATCTAAAATTATATATGCCGATCTTGGTAAATTTTAACGGCAATCTGCTTTCAGAGATAGACGTGACAATCAAGCGTACGCGAAAAGACACGTCTCTGCTGCTCCATCGGAAGGAAGTACGACTCAGTCTGCCGATCCTGAGGCACATGGCTCCCAGACACAGATTGCCAATGTACATCTACGTCGTCAACGAATCGTTCGTCGCTCAAGAAATGATCATTCGCGTAAAAGCCGCTAGGGCGCAAAAAACATTCAGGCTGAAAAAGTTTCCTTTCGGATTCACGCTCACTAGGTATCGACTTTTCGGCGACGGCACCATTCACCCCGAGAAGATCATACGCTCATTGGATTTCGATGGTAATTGCATCCATTTTTAACACTTTTCCCTTCTGTTCGTGTGTGGCTGCTCATTTGGGTGT